ATTGTAATATGCAGTTTAGTAGAAAAAAAAACGTCGTGTTATCAATACTGACTGTAAAAAAGCAACAATAAAAATCTTACTTTTTGTACTTGTATCCAAAGTTCCTCCCCTATAAGTTTTGATGAACCAGTAAAGACAAGCGACTCATCAGTATAGCTACACCTATGTTGCTCCTGGGGGAACTTGATGAACTCTATACACTCTAGCTTATCATTTGGTTTATAATGACATGGGATATTTTCACTAGAACAACCAATCAAAAATATGCTCAGAAATACCAAAACATACTTCATCTAAATGAAATTAAGAAATTTGTTTGAAATATATATAAACAGACAGTCTCATCATATTTAATTTTTTACTGGTAAGGACAGAAATAAAATACATACCTGGAAAATACCCAGATTTGTTTTGCATACATTTAGGGCAATTAACTAAACAAATAATGTTAGTTTAATATTATAAAAAGAAACGGGAGATACCAAAGTCGAAGAGAGACCGTCAAAATCATGACAAAAAACTTGAAACGATCAAAAGACAAACAACAGTCTCACAACACTGGTACATAAAAACAAAAGACTGAGCAGCACGAACCTAACCAAAAACTAGGGGTAATCTAACGCACTCTGGGAGCCAATCCTTCTCCACACAGATTCTCTTAAGAATAAGCTACTATATGGGGTCCAGGAAAAAGCTTACAACTCTTTTTAATACAAATACAACACAGGCAACACGGGACAACCACATCGTTTTGTCGATTCTGTCTGAGATAGATGCAATCTTAGTATTATAACAATTACATAATAATTCACAGTAAAAATAATCATCTTAAACCATGTCATTTCCAATGTTTGGGAGATAACCCCAATCTCTGATATTATGTCACAACAGGCGCAGAGATTCAATGATTGTCACAGAAACGTAAGGCTTTAACTTAAATGCACATAAGTTAATTAGATACTCAACATAAAAAGTTGACACCAAATATATACATAAAATCCATTTTGAGACCATAACGTGTTCGTGTATATCTCATAATAATGTAATCTCTATAAAGAATTTGTTTTAATCTATTATAAAGAAAAGGGGGAAACACATTCATATGACATCAGTAACACTTCCTTTTAGCCTCTGTCTGAATCTTCATATGATGAGGGGCGGGCCAATATATACTCAATGGATATGATACTGCTTATACATCTGCATACCAAATATCATTGACTTGCCACTAATGGTTCTCCTTAAATGAACCTAATCACAAACTTATACATGCAACTTAGCAAAAGTATCAAAGTCAATCGATAATGACTGACGGGGTGGGGCTTACAAATCTCCACGGAAATAAGATATGTCAATGCTAATACAGCTGCATACCAAATATGACCTTCCACATTTGAGGCGAACACAATACCACGAGACCATCTTTTACTAATGGTTCCCCATAAACTGACCTTAGCACAAATTAATGCATTGTTGACGCCGCCGCCACCGACGCCGGAAACAGAACGTCTTAGTCTCGCTTTTTCGACTTCGTCGAGGCGAGAAAAAATCCAAATCTTGATGATGATGGATGGCTGCTTAATATCAAGTGGCAAAAAATAAATGTATAGTCAGGACGGCAACATGTTAAAGTAATATGAATATTTACCCTGATTTGTAATAGGCCGACACGTTGATCTGACCTTTTAACGTGCTATTTCACATGGTTACAGTCCGCCGGAAGACATGTTACTCTACCCTGACATATTATTCTTACTCCGAGCCGACCAGTCTTTAGTCTTATTCCTGCCGCGTGCCAATCGGGAAAGCAGCAAGTATCAATTTTAAAATCTTTGGTTTGAACAGGCCGGGGTTCGAACCCACGACCTCCCACATTCGAGGCGAACACAAAACCACGAAACCACCTAGGCGGTATATTGATTGGGGAAGGCAGAGTACCCAGAGAGAACCACCGATCTTTGACACGAAAATTTGAAATCCTAGATAATTAAGATCGGAATCGAACGCCCCTCGCTACTTGCGGGGATGATCCCACAACTTCAGTGTTGATAGGCCAGTAATCACTGAACTACTTAGGCCATTTGTCGACCGAGGCCCCCAAATACGTTTTGTTAGAAGCTTCAAAGAGACGCGAGTAGTTTTTAATTTATCATTTTCAACATCGGGAGTTATTTTGAAAACAAAATAATTTTGAATCTGTAATCACTCATACAGATTAGCAGCTCATAAAATTCCACCCGAAAGCAAATTAGAACCAATGCATTAGGAAATTCGTTTCAATGACACATTAAATTTGTACCTAATGGCGCGCGCATTAAAGTTTCAACTGTATTCATAGTCAGATGAACAAAAAAATAACAGACATACATGACTTTTTTGTATTTAAATGAAACAACTTACGTTACGACTATTGTACAAACACTGTGTGGAACTAACATATATTGAAAGGTAAGATAAGACATGTTCTAAATAAATCGGACTGTTCTCATTATAGACATAATGATTAAATAGCTAATAAACGGTATTATTAATCATTTTGATACGGAATTCATGTTGTGTCTGCAACATCCATTTTTGCGACAAGTTAAAGAATACATATTTCATTTAAAAAAAAATAACATTACATAATGAATAACGCCAGAGCTACGACTGTCGTACATTTTATACTAATGGCCAGTCGCATAGCTTAACTGTTAGATTAAACATTTTAGGATTTTGGCTTCTTTCTTTCATGAAAAACTACTTCGCATTCGCTGTATAGTTGCTTATCACGACTTTTCATCTGTTGGAGAGGGTGGGGCATGTATTTTTTTCTGGGGGCAAATAAATGTATTCGACTTTATTAAAAAAAAGAATAATTTTTTCAATAACAACAGGAACAAAAGTATTTTTGGAAACTCAATGTCGTGTTTATTTCGCCCCTAATATTCAATTGAGACAAACACACTCCCAAACGGACAGCCTCAGGATTTCCTAATAAATAAAAATCCTAACATCTTCTTTTTTTTCTAATTTTCTCTATTTGCTACGAGAACTGGTACTTCATGGTTTCTTTTATGTGTTGTGTGTACATTTTGTTTCAACTTGTAGGGAAAAAAAATGAGTAACATTTTGTCTTGGAAGTTTCACTTTCCATATTTGGATATGGATCTCGAATGTTTTATTCTAATTTTAGGTCCGCGCGCATGATGATGTTTTGAAGTCACGTGACGCTCGAATATATATGAGACCGTTGAACAGAGCACATGTGTACTGATCGGACAAACATGATCACTATTGGTTTTATTATTTACAGGTCATTGATGAAGGATCATGCATGCATCTTACGTACACATGTTTACGGGAGCACCGATTTGTATTTTAATGCATGATTAAAAAATTTGATTGTAGGATTTCAGCAATATTTACGATTTTTCTACGTCATTGAATTTTATTTCTCAATCAAGCGGACCGCGTCTAACGGGAACATGAATTGGAGCCGATTTTTGCAGGAATGAATTTCTATTTAAGAAGTTTGTACATCAGAAGGATTGCATTTTTACAGTAAAATGTACAGGACTGAACTTCAAGGCGAAATGGGATTCCTCAAAGTAGAAGAAAAAAAAAAGAAAAAAAAGGGGGGGGGGGAGGTGGAGGATGGTGACCCTTCTTGGTTGATAAATTAAGATAAGATGTATGTATACATCATGATAGCTGCAAAGTTTGAGGCTATGATTAGTTCATTTTGTTCATTTTACTATTTCAGTGGCATGGAACCCCTAAAACAATGACCCGTACCATTTTGACAAAAACTTTCCAGTTATATCATGTCGCGACTAACATTTTGGTCAAATTTTTTTTATACGGCTTACAGTTTATGTGTTACAAAATCATAACGGCAAATTAATTTGGTAAAGGCAGATAACTCTTTTAAGATCTCACTGGATCGCTTCGATCCAAATTAGGCAAAAATTCCTGAGGATGTAACAAACAATTTAGAAAAAAAATTTTGTCGATATCTTTTTTTGTTACGAAGGAGATGCACACAGATGATAAACAGTGAATAGGGAGATAACTCTTGCAAAGAAAATGGTTCGGCTTAGCAGAGTGAAATTTAAAAGCGCATAAACTATACGATACAATATGAGAAATAACTAAGCGACATATTGCGAAACAAACATTTATCGCAAGAACAAAATTTGGCGGAAGAAAAAAAAAATTAAAAAAAAGTAATAATAATAATAATCAGAACAAATACTATAGTTCTTTCCACAGAAAAGTGGAAAGACCTAATAAATCACGCCCTGCCCCCAAACACATACATTAAAGAATGACTAGTCGGTGCATCAAAGAAAACGGAAATGAACCATTATTTCTCCCATTAAAGCATATGGGTGATGATGATGATGTATGGCTGTTTAACGTCCAGCGGCAAATTTAATGTGTATGATGTCGATAATAGCATTTGAAGTCACCGTCGGCCTTCATTAATTAGCAAAACACATACCGCATATTTAGCTATAAAAGGATCCGACATAAAAAAAAAAGTCAAACAATTCAAACTAGAGAACAAATGGCCTCATTTATTTACAAAAAAAAAAAAAAAAATACAAAACTACAGCAACAAATGACAACCATTAAATTATTAAAGCGTATTGTGAAGACTAGAACGTATGTTTACCTCTAGATATCATACGTCTTTTAACGCAGTTTTTTTGTTGAGCCCCTGACTATCATTCGTAGTGAAATATTCATTGTGTTGTCTTATGATCTATGTCATCCTGCGTCGACACACTTTAGCATTTATCACATAACAAAATATTGGAGATTTGCATCGGAATAAATTTGGTGTTAAATTATCATATCAAAGTTTTTTTTAATTGATATTCAGATTTATGCTGGAGATGGTACAATAATCCTAATGATTACATTGATTACTAAGATAATAGCTTTTGTAGTTTAATGAATAAAATATTGATCAGTCCCTGATATTTAGGAATGGAAAAAAATATTAATGCTTGGTTATGTATTATTTGTCATACATGGCATTCATTTGGATTGTGTCTAACCTCTAAGGTAAAGTGAAATATTTTTATATTAAATTACTGTCTTAATTTATTACTCTTAATTCATGTTAAACTTCTCATGAAATATTACATTTTTTTTCCAAAGCCTTTTACATTTAATCGCTTAAACTAACAATTTTATTTTTCATTACTTTACTAACATACATTTTACTTTATATGTACAGACTGTGCTATGAATCCGTCGTTCCTCCTCCGTTTGATTGCAGATTTACTGTTTATCAGTGAGTATATAGTTTTTGTTGCTTATCTGTTCAAACTATCTAATAAAAAGCTCACATGTAATCACTTCAACAAATTAAAAGAGTTTTTTTTTGCAATTAAAAAACCTTTTGCCCACTGGACGCGACGAATGAGCTAAAACGACCCTCCTGAGATATTTTACACTCATCATTCTAATCATAGTTTTATTTGAACAATTATGTATCTATGTTAGCAAGCTTTTTTTCATTAAACTAAAATGGAATATTCTAGGATATATTAAATTAGAAGTAAATGAAAGGGCACTTGAGATAAATTAGCAGGAGGACAATCAGAGGCTTATTTAGAAATGCTTCAAATTTGACGGTTAAAGCGTCATAATCTATTAATTTATGAATTGATTGGGATCCAGCTTATTTTCACCAATCCAAACAACAGTGTAAAGTTGGAAGTAAATTGGTCCAATAATACAGGAACTAGTATCCAAAAGGTGAACAATTCCTTTTAGTTTGAGTGTTATAGTCCAATTCATTTAATTGTTGAAAGACAAAAAAATAACTCAAAGTTGAAAGTGAGCTTACTTTCACCAATCAAAATAAGGATATCTCTCAAGTTTGAAGTAAATTGATGCAAGCGTGCATTTTCCCACTTTTTATGAATGTTTTTGTTCTCATTTAAAACCACTTATAAATCCTTTAATAATCGAAGTTGTAAATAAAAATCACGAATCACATAGGAGCGGTCTAAACCTTTTTTAGTTTAGTACCTCCTAATTACAATTATAATGTGTTGCGCTGTTATTTTAAAATCAGCATTTTTCTCTTCGATTTATTTTAAAACAGACAATCATTATGCTTTTCAGACCAAAATCGTCCACCAAGTATAAAGGAATCTGGAGTAAGAGAAGTTTATTTCAAAGCAGGAGAAAATTTGAAATTAATTTGTGTAGCGAATGGAGTTCCGAAACCACAGTAAGTCATTTATAATATAAAAAACACAGTAAACGAAAAAAGTCTCAAAAATGTTCTTCAACTATTTGCTTGAAAATCTATGACCGAACGGGATTTTCTTTTCGTGTTTGTATTCATTTTTTGTCTCATCTGCGACAAAATACGGTAGAGGCGAGTTTTATAAATGCTGTATCTGACGTCGATTTTGGGGGCGACAACAATTGTTCAACACATCTCTTTTGTAACAGTTTAATTAAAAATCTTAAACATGTTTTTTGAGATCTCAACCCTCACCTATACCTCGAGCCAGGCCCAATGTAGAATAAACAAACATCTTCTTTTTTATAAACACACAACAATACGCACAGTAAAACTCAGTTTAAAATCGTAACTATATCCCTTCTGAATAAGTCTGTTTAAAGGTTAGGTTAGATGTTGAGGTGAATGACGTCATTTTTGCTTTTTATAGAATATATTTACGAATGATGTCTTTGTACCGATGATAAAATTTAGTAAATGTTTTGACAAGTTTGTGATATCGAAAACCTTGGTGTAACAATTTTTCAGTAATACAGAGGTTTGTTTCGTTAAAATCAAATACGTTGTTACATACACGAGCGAATCGAACAAGTTGAGATATATAAACACCATAAGATGGCGACAAGGGAACGTCAAAAAAATGGATAATTAACAATAGGAAATGAAAAATCATCTCTTTTATCATAAATTTTGGTATTAAGCTTCCCGTTAAAGATAAAGATATCAAGATCCAGGAAAGGACAGTGTTCATTGTTAGTATTAGCAGAACCATACAGAAACAGGTCCGCAATATGTGGTGCACAGTTAGTACCCATTGGAATTCCGATAAATTGAAGATATACGGAATCTCCATTACGAACAAAAATGTTATCCTGTAAAATTTCAAGTGCAGTTATCGTATCAAAGCAGATCCAATTGACATAGTTCTTTTGTTTGTTGTTACTAAAAAATGATTTAAAAGAGTTTGAACATATATATTCACATTCTGACTTTTTAAATGTCCATTTGATTAGGTATGTGATTTTTTTCTTAATGATATTATGAGGCAAAGTGGTAAAAATTTTGAACAGATTCGAAATCACCAATATGAGCATGCAATTTATCAAGTTCTTCCAACGAATTTTTGACACTCCAAAAGTAACTAATTCCACTATTTTCAAAGGCCTTATTTTAACAATTTATTACCAGGTTTCTGATTATACCAAGTGTACTAGTAAGTAGAGTTGAGAGTTTAGTAGTGGAACAATGGTTTGAAGACGAAAGAAATCTATATTTGTAAGGTGTTTTGTGCAGCTTCGGAAGCCAGTACATAGTTGGAACTTTCATGTTATTCGGTTCTGCTTGTAAAGAGGTAGCTAAAAGTTTATGTTTGTTACAGATGATGTTATTTTCCGAAAATGAATTTAGTTGGAATGTTGGTGGATTTGTGATTTCCTTTGGCAGAACCTCAATGTAAAACTTACGTCAAACAATAATGATATTATTGGCATCCTTATCAGCCGGGACAAAAAACAATCCTTGGCGAGTTCTTTTAGCTTATGTTTGATACGAGAAATAGGGCTATTATGGTTATTGTTAGGAGTAAAATGTTCTTTAAAATGTTCAAGACGAATATCAACTATGTCCATTACTGAATTAAAAAAATAATCTAAAGATTTTTTGTCAGCTTTTTCTCGTTTTATCCATTTCATGCAGTATGTACGGAGTGAGTCGTAGATGACGTTACGACATGATGTTACATGTATCTACCTTATCCCAGATCTGATACTTGTGACATTAAATATTGTAATAGAATTTTTGAATAGCAATTTGTATATTTGAACTAACCAATGTTTATATTAGGTACAGATGGACAAAGAATGGAAAGGTATTTGACCTAAGTCGACATAAGGGTCGCATATTTATGCAATCTGATTCTGGTACACTTCTGATGAAAAGAACGAAACGAAAATATGGATTTGAATTTTTGCACTGCTACAGCTACTAAATAATTAATGCAACTGACTGAATAAGCCTGACAAAGATTGAAAATTAACACGTGCACCAAGTTCATGAGACGGATAAGAAAACATTGCCGTTTCTACCACAGACATCATAAATCTAGTAATAAAATGTGTATCGTCCACCTAAACAAATAATAGATGTTGACAGAAGCCGAGTCGGATAGAATATGAAACACTAATATAAACATCAATTAAAAATTTCTAATTTGTATATTTGAATTAACCAATATTTATATTAGGTACAGATGGACAAAGAATGGAAAGTTATTTGACCTAAGTCGACATAAGGGTCGCATATTTATGCAATCTGATTCTGGTACACTTCTGATGAAAAGAACGAAACGGAAAGATGGGGGAGTATACCAGTGCGAGGCTTGGAATATTGAGGGTGTATCACTGTCAGACAAAATAACAGTGAAGAAAACCAAACTCGAAGAATTTCTTTACACAAAAGACAAAACCCTTAAAGTCAGACGTGGAAACTCAGTAAAACTTTCATGTTTAGTTCCTCACAGTATGCCTAAAGCAAACATATCATGGGTCCTATGGAGTCTAGTCGATGCATCAGTCACAGAAGTTAACTTTGACGATCGAAGGGTTACTCAAGACCTAGAAGGTAAAACAGTATTTAATTGATTGTAAGAAAAATAATAAGCACTGTCTATTTTACTAACACTAACAGGTCATTTAGAATCGCATCTACAACCAGCGAATCTAATAAAAGTTATTCTAGAACATTTGTCTTAGCACGGAAATAGTTATTATACATCCTATGGTCGTTAATTTAATTAATGTATTTTTCCCAAAATTTCAAAAATCAAAAATTATCTAATTGTACCAAAGCTAAGATTGCAACCCGACAGGACTAATTCAATTGATTTTTTTTCTTTCTTATTCTATGTTTACCGTTTGGCTTTTATAGTATCAAACATTTCACAGTTTGGGTTCCTAACCTATTCATTGACCGTGTCAGATCAAGATTAATTTAGATGCAAGTGTCGATTTCATAAGTTTTTACATCAAAGTGGAATGTATAAATGGTATTGTACGCATCTGATGTGTATTCCTGGATAAATCTTCATAAAGAATTATCAGAACCAACAATTGGAGTCTCATAACACATGCAGAGGTACAATGTATACATTTAGGGGACGACCATTTATCTTCTGGAAAGCGGGGAAGAATTATTTTGAAAATGAAAAATTTAGCCTGAAAATAAATGACGCTGCACAATAAAGGATGAAGAAGTAAAATCACGAAAATACTGAACTCCGAGGAAAATTCAAAAAGGAAAGTCCCCAATCAAATGGCAAAATCAAAAGCTCAAACACACCAAACAATTGGACAACAACTGTCATATTCCTGACTTGGTACAGGTATTTTCTTATGTAGAAAATGGTGGATTGAACCTGGTTTTATAGCTAGCTAAACCTCTCACTTGTATGACGGTCGCATCAAATTCCATTATAATGATAACGATGCGTGAACAAAACAAACAGACAAAATAGGTAAAAATGTCAAAAATAGGGGTACAGCAGTCAACATTGTGTTATCATCTTAATCATCATAAAAACAAATAAATGAATATTCTGCAACATAAAATGCAGAATAGATAGTTGAGGATATAAATGCGTACATTTTCGCACGGTGAAACAGCGGAAGCAAAATAAGCATGTGTAGCAACAGGTGAAAATAAAACTTTTTTCATGAAAAAATCTTCCGGCTCTTCCCCCTAATTATCATATGATCGTCTCCTTTAATTAAAACAATAGTCAAAACCATCACAGTTCAAATGTGTCTGAGGGAGTTATAGATTTAGAAATATTAAATTGCCAATAAAATAAATATTAAACGATAATACTATTATAAAAATCAGAAGATGTATTACGATTGCCATTGGGACAATTATCCACCAAAATTCAAATGAAGCGGATGTAATCAATTATAGACAACCTTCAACAATGAGAAAAAAAAACTCATACCGTATAGTCGGCTATAAAAGGCCCCGACATGAAAAATATGAAACAATTGAGAAAACTAATGACCTAATCTATAACAAAACAATTTACGAAAAAAAATATAACAAACATGAACTAACGCAAAATCACTGAACTACAGGCTCCTGACTTGGGAGAGGCACAAAAAAAAATGTGGTGGGGTAAACATATAAGCTTTTCCCCCCAGATACATTAAATAGAAAATGAAAGGATATGGAGTAAATGTACATGGGACAAAATCGCACACAATACATTGAAAACATAGAAAATTATCAATGAACAGGGCTTTTATTCCTGTTCTTCATCTTGACAGTTGATGTAGGGTCTATTGTAAGATAACCTAGTTGCAATATATATAAATGTGATATAGTCATTTTGTATTCACAGGAAATCTCTATATCACAAACGTGAAAGACGAAGATTATCAAAATGGAAGATTGTATGTTTGTATGGCAAGTAATGACGTGGATGGGCATACGACGTTTTCTAACGGAACAGACATTAAACCAACTGGAAAGAAAGGTTGTCTTGTTCAATTTAAAGTATAGCACCACCGATTATATGCATTTCTATAGTAGAATAAGAGGGTTTATTTTAACCAATAATTCTTTTATCTGAAAGTTTAAAGAATTCTGTTTCTTGACATCCGAGTGTTGTCCTGCCTCAGCAGAGCAAGAAAAACTAACCCATTATGAGTATTCTGAAAATGCTTCTAACTATTAAATACCTTAATGAATTTGTATGATCTCGTTGCTTTTAACGTTCAAATGGTACTGAAGAAGGCCTGGAGATGTCCTGAACGTGAAAACACAAGTAACAAAAAAAAAAACAATCGCTTAACAGTCCTAATTCGAAAACGAATTCTCCAAATCATAAAAAGGTATACGACAAAAGACTAAAAGACAACCAATGACTAATCAACTTCCTTATCTGGGACAAGAAGCAGGGTTAAAGTAGTATTTTTAGGTCGCCTCCACTCTTCAATCTCGACCATTGGACAACCTAAAGATACATAGCATAACAATCAATGAAATGTATTTGCTAATGAAAGTAGCACTCATTTTTGTATTTTCTGATGCGTATATTACCAGTTCCCATTGTGTCTGATGCGTTTAGCACTAATTGCAATAGTTTTTGATGTGTATACTACCCACTTCCATTGTTTCTGATACGTGTACCACACAGTTAAATTGTTTCCATAGTTTTTAATGACTTTAGTCATGTCCATGGATTTCTTTTACGTGTATTACAAATTGTAATGGTTTATGATGCATGCATCACCTATTTTCATTGTCTCAGATGTATGTAACATCAATTCCCATGGTAACTGTAGCACACATTCCAATCCTCTCTGATGTCTTTTGCATATATTTGCATGGTTTCTGATAATTTTCATGGTGGTTGATGCGTGGAGCACGAACAACCATTTCCATGGTGTCTTATTCGTGTAGCAACCATTTTCATGGTGTGAATTTATTTTGCGTATTTGATCGACTGATGTTTTATCCCGCTAAATTCATGTTTCCCAAGAAAATATCTGATATATGACGTACCAAGTTATAAGCCTGGTAGCTTTGGTGAGTTTTGAGTCGATCAATTATGGTTAGAGTTAGTCAAGAAAAATCCATAATGAAGAAGAAGGGAATGATAGCTATAGTTTTGTTTCAAATTTGTTGAAAAAAATAACTTTGAAAACCTCTGTAGGTTGCAATTCTGTAAATATAGACAGTGCAATTTCCCATAGGAACTCCCTTTGCGGCTAAAACTGTGCCACTTTTACTATGAAGTTTCGTGAAAAATTATATCCCAGAACGGAAAGTTGATATGCACTACTATTTTATTCAAAGGTCAGAATATAGGGCTGTGCGGCATATTTTCAATTTTTAAATGCCCTGAACTTCTGAGAGTTTAAACTTATACTAAAATTCTATACTACCTCCACTTTTGGACCTCCTAAGAATTAAATTTTAGGCGCTACCATTTTTTTCTATACTGGTAACATTCTCAAGTTATGTCTCTATGAGATGAAACATAAAGATCATATCTGGGAACCAGTACGTTAACAAAATAACATATCTATGAATATTATATATCTCCCCAAAAGAGGCGTGGCTTGTGAAACAGCTGTATTTACAAAGTGCAACCTGTAAGGGAACTTCTAATGCATGCTTCTTAAATTATTAAAAATGGTCAATAGGTAATAACTATCTTACTGGCATTTATTTCAGGCCATTTCTTAAAGTCCCCATTTCATATATTTAATTATGTTGAAATATTATTGTAATTGAATAAAATATTTTAAAGCAGAACGTAAACTTTAGCTGAGGTTGAATTATGTTTTTTCTTTCAGACATAAATAATTTCAAATTTTTGTTCCGGCTGTTGTTTGTTTAAATGAAAGAAGATAACCCAATTTAGTATTTTTAACTTTAATGTATGAAATGTAAGTAAAATATTTAAATGGGGAATTTCCCGTCCTGCTTTTCTATAGAAAGTATGACACTCAATTGAAGCACATGAAATGTAACACTAGACTTTTACTCCCTCGATATCACACAGCTCCGTGTACTATGTCAATGTCAATTTTTACTATGTAGCATGTCAATAACACATATGAAAATTACGTAAAAGCTATACCATGTATGGAAGTATTGTAATTACAATGCATTTTTTCTTCTTTAGATGCTAACACATTTGTAAGACCTCATCTATTGTGGGCATCACCGGAAGAAACTATAGGAATTATGGGAGATTCTCTGAAGCTTAAATGTATATTCGGAGGAAAGTAAGCAGAAGCATTAAAGGCATAACATAAATGTAAAAAGTCAACGTTCTTCGTGTCATTTGTCACGTTATAGGTGTCATACATTTAAAGATGCAACGAAAAGATGAAGAGGTGTATCAAAATTACATATTTTGTATTCTCTTATTTATCTAATTTACTACATTATAGCAATCGCTTACATTTCAAGCTCAAAATCTTAAAATTGCTGACGTGAAAAAAAAAATTTGTAAAAGAAATACCAGAATGTTGTATAGTTTCGAAACATTCACACAACAATTTAAAGTCTCTTTTCAGTCCATCTCCAAGCATACAGTGGTCATTTGTCAACAATTCTAATGATTTTTTGGTGAAAGACAAACCAGGATTGAGCACTGATGGTCAAGAATTGAGCTTTTATCGATTACAGTTGACAGATAGAGGAAAATATACTTGCTATGCAGAGGATCCCACTGGCTACAGAATCGAACACGTGATAAACCTTATTGTCAAAGGTTTGTTCTATAGTTTCCGTGCATATCTTACAGAACCAAAAAATGATTCTCTGTAGAATAGAAACACAGATGGCTGAATGAATTCATTCAAATCAATATTCAGTGCAAAATTATACATGTATCTCTGGACGAGAACATGTTTATGTAATATGAATAGGAACCCTGATGTGAACGAGACCAACACGTTTCGTATTTGTCACGTTTTAGTTCTAGACAATATGCATTTTACCCGGACATGCTGTTCTGACTCCGAGCTACCAGACGTTGTTCGTTCTCCTAAATTCCATATGCTTAACGTAGACGCCGCAAATATTAATTTCCAGTCTTTGATTTGACAAGATAAACATCCTACCCACGACTTGATGACCCATCGAGAGCACGCTACAACGAGGGAAACCAATGCGGTTGATATTTGTGTACTGCGACACCTTCTCAGATGATACAAGACAGAACGTATTTAGTCCTTGCTTCGCACAGACAATTATAATCCGTTTCGCATTTTCAGCTTTAATATATGATATGAGTTGTCATTGTCATGCGTTTGTAACAAGTGTTACGTTTAATACAAAGTTTGCTGGATAATCTGAAATAGTATAGTATACGGTATACTATACATAATCAATGGATAACAAAATCACGCCTTTTTACACTTTAAACCGGTCATTGTGTAATATCATGCATATTCTATACAGTAATTATATTAATTTATAGAAAATGATAATTTTGTGTAATGCGTAAATCGAAGTTGATATGGTCATAATTATAAATAAACTGATTATGAAACTTGAATTTTTCGAAATACTAGGGATTTTTTACCCCTGGAGTAGATTACCTAAGCTGTATTTGAAAAAACTTTGGGAAATTTGGGTTTTCAATGCTCTACAAGTTCGTACTATATTTGGCATTTTTAACTTATTTGATTCGAGCGTCACTGATGAGTATTTTGTAGACGAAACGCGCGTCTGGCGTACTAAAATTTTATCCTGGTATCTATTATGAGTGTATTTGGTTAAATGTGAACAGAGAAGATATAATCAAACCGTAATGTAAACTGAAAATAAAGGATTCGATATATAGCAGATATAGTTTCATAACATCATTATAATTATAACATGCAAATGGACAACAAAACCATGCTTTTATACACTTTAAATTTGTCATTGAGTGTCCATGTAGATTCTATAAAATATTTATACAGACTTATAGAAAATGATAATTTTGTTCAATGCACAAATCAAATTTGTTTTAATGTGAACAGAGAAGATATAATCAAATCAGTAAGGTAAACTAAAAATAAAGGATTCAATGCACAGCAGATATAGTTTCATAACATCATTATAATTATAACATGTAAATGGATAACGAGATCACGTCTTTTTACACTTTAAATCGGTCATTGTGTGTCCATGTAGATTCTATAAAACATTTATACAAACTTATAAAAAATTATGATTTTGTTCAATGCACGAATCAAATTTGTGTTAATGTAAGTAGAGAACATATGATTAATTCAGGAATATTAATTAAAAACCCCAGATTCAATATATAATTTCAAAACATCATAATAATCATACCTTGTGAATGGATAACAAAATTACGCCTTTTTACACTTTAAATTGGTCATTGAGTGTCCATGTAGATGCCACATAGCAACATTATAACTATAAAGTGTATAGATAAGCTTATTAGCCTAAATAGAACGACAAGAAGAACTTTGTATCTTATATTGCCATAAAAATTCATTTCCAGTAATGAGAGGTAGAAATCCATGTCAAATATTTTGGTGTTGTCAAATTTTAAAATAGTTTTTTTTTATCTATATATTTTTTTGCTTTTATTAGCAAGGCCGTTTTGGCTTGAGGGAGGTCAGCCTAGTGATATTCATGTGGTAAGAAGAGAAGGAACAGTTGCTACTTTTGTATGTAAAGCAGGAGGAATTCCTACTCCGGAAGTAAACTGGTATATAAACGGTGTATCACTTAAAGGTGGGAATCTATCATTGGTCTGTCTGTTTATCTATAAAGAGAACGAAGCTTTCTTACATGAATGTCTTTGCATGATTCTATTGTAAGAATACTATTGTTAAATACATTTGACAATACAAATTTTTGACTGTTCATTTATTAAGTGTTGAAATACGATATATTAAAAATGCAAATGGGACTGTGATTTCCAAATATGTAGTTGTCCATTTGATTCTTGCTAAAATGAATGGTATTTTTCTAATTTGTTTATGTTTTATTTTTGGATTGTCTTAGTTTTATTGTCCATTTTTAATTTACTTTTGTATTGATGTAAGGTAACATGTAGGGGAGATTGCTTTATTTACGTATCTGTTACCACAATGGTTTTAAACACATGTAGAAAATGTTATTGTGAATGGGAACCATATGAAATTTCTTGTGTCATCTTAAAAGTGTGTTACCTTGTAAACATAGTAAAAACAAATTGTGCATTATATATTTTAGTAAATGATCAGTGTAGTTCATGTATGTTTATAACGATATACATACATGTATTATAAAAATATATGCATATATATTTTTGTAGAATCTAACATCTCAGCAATGGCAGAAAATAGATTCCAGAATCCAAATGTTTGCACCATCACTATTACTGACATTAGATTTACCGACGCTATGGTTCTGCAGTGTAATGCTTCAAATAGCTATGGTTACTTGTTCTCAGATTTCTATCTAAACGTCTTTGGTAAGCTGTTATAAAAAGTCTTTACATAATGTAAGCATTATCTTTACGAAAAATTCCTACTTATGATAGACTGTGTACAAAAAGTTAAATGTACTATATCGGTAATAGCGTCTTCGTCAGTGCTATATATATTACTCTGCATATCTTAACAACATGTCTTTTATACATATCGTTTATAATTTGAAAAAGAGGTGATGCTTGGAAAACGACAATAAGACAGTAACTAAATAATTCGATAGAAGGCGTTTACAGTTTAATGTGCGGTGTTCAAATATTTAACTATTTTAATTTGAAATATTGACCATACATTCACCATTCTTTACATGCCAAAACCATTTAGATCAAATTGTAGACAACTGACAAAATTCGTCATGCGTGCAGTCTGGATTGATTTTTTAAACATTTTATTTAAATCCTCTTTGTTTTGATCACCGCCTCGGTAGTATCGTGGTAGGGTGTTCCCTTCAAGTACGGGAGGTCGTGGGTTCGAACCCGGCCGGGTCAAACCAAACACTTTAAAATTGGTATTTGCTGCTTCTTCGCTAAGCACGCGGCATTGAGGAATAAGACCAAAGACTGGTGGGCTCGAAGTTAGAATAATGTGTCTGGGTGAGGTGAGATGTCTTCCTGCGGACTGTCACCTTATGAACAGCACGTTAAAAATCCGGCTCAGCGTGTAGGTCTAGTACAAAGCAGGGTTAATATTCTTATAACATTAACATGTTCTCGTCCTGAATATGTATATTAATTTGTCGCTGGACGTTAAGCAGCCATCCATCATCATCTCTGTTTTGATCGCTGAAAAAAAAAAACGAAACCCCCCTTGAAAAAAGTATTTTCATCAAACGCGTTATTATCCATAAAACAGTATAACTGGACAACCACAGAATGATGTCATATATAAGATAAGATTACATTTTTTAAAATGGTTTTATTTCAATGAAGATATTGAAGGTTTCAAGTCAGGAAATTGCTTTTTCTTATTTTAAATTTTCTATTTTTTTCTCGGTCATACGGGTGTTCACATTTCCTGTAATTGCAAATATTCTCTACTATGATTTTCTGGATTTACCTTTTATCGGGAACGCACAAAGCCGAATATATAAAAGACAAGGATGTATATTTAATTAAGACGTAAATTTTCGTGCTGACTTGACTTTCTGGTAAAAAAATATCAACGGAACCATACAAAAACTACATGTAGGTACATATAAACATATCACTTTATATACGTTTTTATTGATATTTTTCTCATTCAATTTCAAAATATTGAAAGACAAAAGTATACATAATCAAACTGTATTCAATGTTTTTACATTTCCAAGATATTCCCGAAAATGAAATCAGTTCTCGTTCTTTGTTCATTATATGTTTAAATACGGTAATAGAAACATAATACCATTGGTTATCCGTTTGCCTTTTTTCAGAATTTAAACGAAAGGATCTATCATTTACAAGTGCATAAACAGACAGTGGAGTGTACATGATCTTTAAATATGCGTTTTGAAACAACGGAAAAGTGACTAATTTCACAACTGTGTTTGAAATTGTTAGAATTCTATTAAATACATAAATTAGTGGTTAACAGTGTCTGTCACAATTTTGTTCTGGCTAAGTCTGTAAAATGTTCAATTGCAATAAGCTCAGCTCACAAATATAAAGACTTGTTGGTTATGTTCAAAAGGAAGAGAATGATCAATCATGTCTTAAGAATGATAAAAACCAAACATTATTGCAATAAAAAAAAATTGCAGCTGCTTTTAAATCTAAAAAAGTAATACAATATAAACAGCAAATATAAAATTAAAAGAAAATGAAGAACCGATAACGTCATAAAAAAGAAGAAAAAAAAACCCGAGAAATAGACAAAAATGCAAACAACATTTTACATAATCACATCAGTAACTAGAGATTTTATCTATTTGCAACATGTACCTCACAAAAAATCATGTGCAACTCCAGAAATAATTGGTTTGCGCACAAAACACTTTGTACATGGGTTTCTAACCCGTCAACATCGCAAAATGTAAACGGTTGAAACTAAGATACAGTGTTTTTGTAGGAGGAAAAAGAACTTCTCTTTCAAATATCAGACAACAAAAAAACTTTTCGAAATTCAATATTTTAAATTTCACAACACATTGAATGCTGATTTATTAATTTCTAATGTAAATCATTTGCATAACCATTCAAAAAAGGAATAAACCAACGAAAATTAATTAAAACGTTTCTGCAAAATGGAACGACATGGAAAAGTCGGGGTAAATTTATTCTGCATCGGCATAAATGGATTTGTTGGATAGTAGAAACTCTACCTTGCAAAAGGACACCTCAGAGACGTAATGCAGAGTTTGGTTTTACCCTTAGAAATTGAAAAAAACATACTCTCTAAACACAGGGCATAGGAATTAGTGCTTTTAGTACAACTGGACGTGGCTGTACATGACGCACTTGTACATATCGTTTAGATAAACAGACAATTTTTTAGAATTAATGTTTCTACCAGAAACTAAATTAAATACACAACTGACAGAAAAAACAGCAAAGTCAACTCAAACTTACTTAAAGCTGAATTATTCTCCCGAAGTCAATGTCGTTACTGCTCTATGTGTAGTATTTTACTGCTATTTTTAGGGACCCATTCACTGTTAAATGCACGACTGAAGATAGAGAAACATACACACGAAAATTACAACAGTAAGTCCAGATATGAGAAACCTTCTTCCATTTTTATAAAGAACTGTAATAGTCAACATTTTCCTGTGGGGAACATAAAAGATTTTTCAAAAGTACAATTAAATACGACATTTCAGATTGAAGAATTGTTTACCAAAACAATTTATATTTTATTTACCGTATACGCTTGTTACATTGTTACCTTTAGAGTCTAACCTCTTCTTGATGCATCCTGTAATAATCCATGAATTGCCCATACGAAAAACTAGTACGGACATCTTTTTTTAAATTTCTCATTTCCATTTTGACACTTCTCACTTGAAATAACAAAGTTCTAAATTGACATTTTTCAGTTCCAACTTGACATTTCTTACTAATTTCCAAACTGGTTGCAGAAATGTAAACTTGGAACTGAGAATTGTTCAGCTTAAACTAAGGAGTGTCAAGTTGGAACTTTCAACTGATAAATGTCAGATTGGAAGTAAGAAATGTCATTTTGAAATAAAAAATTTCAACTTTTAAACTTTTAAATTAGAAATGTCAACGTTACAAAAGAATGGAGGCGAAAACATATATTATCGATAAAAGCAATGACGATCATATATTTTGTGTGAGTTGAATTAATATTCGGAATGTCAGAATTTCAGAAATTACAGTATTTAAATGTCAATCCCTTGCATCTTTCATATAAATGCGGAGTAGTTAAATGTTTTGACTACTGACAAAATATATACTTGTGAATATTAGCAAAAAGTTACAGATGCCGAACAATAGACTCTCCTGAATTTTAAGCAAAAACATAAATCTTTACCGTTTAGTAAACTTTACAATGTAGAAATCAAAAATGATAAAAAAATTAAGCGCGTGGGATAGAAATTATACATGATAAATATGTAGGACTCTAAAGTGCGATGGGGACGCTAAAGTGCGATGGTCACGCTAAAGTGCGATGGTACACGCTAAAGTGCGATGCTTCCATACGCTAAGGTCCGATGGTCCGCGAAAGTATAGACGTAAGAAACGTATTTTGATTATGACGTTAACAGTCGTTTATATATACAAACTAAAAATGAACACGCCGGAAGATAAATTACTAATATTTGATTAACAACTGTTAAACCAAATGTCAATGACTTATTAATAATTAATATAAATCTGACCGTGCTTTGACTTCTGAAGCAAATGTGGTTTTTTTTCGGTAGCTGGAAGAAGAACTTAATTGTATCCTGCAGTCGACCATTTTACTATTTAGATACAAAATAGTATTTGCATAAATATCCTGTATCGTGCTTTTATTGGAAGCGAACGGATACATTTAAATCATTGTTTATGTTGCAGTTTACTTTGTGGTCCCCGTTAAAATATTGTCGCTTTAAAATGTAACATTGGTAAAATAAAGGTACATGTTTGCATGCGTAAATTATAAATTGTCGGCTAAAATATTAGTTTATACATTATAGGAAAATATAACATGTATGTGTAGTCGCTACGCCGAAAAAGGAGAAAACCGGCTAACATCGCCTTTTTCTCTCATTTGAATTAAAGCTTAAACAATAAATGTTACATATTCCGACAATAATCGAATTTTGTATTTGTAATTTACAATGACGACTGTAAGGGGAGGTGTTCCCATTAGTGATAGACTGTGTGAATGGCAAGCTACGCCAATTATCACAATATTTAATACGCCCGAATTGTTAAAAATTCAATTACAAGAAATATAGTATTTTGTGACACCTAAATTACCTTTTTAGCAATTATTACGTGGTCGGTCTTCTAAATGTAGAAACAATCACTTCAGCCTACCAGTAGATTATAATGCCTATCACATATGGTATACCTTAGAATACTAGTTTTGCAAAAGGACTATTTTTACATCTTATGTTCTTTAACGTTTTGCAAGCCCTCGAACCTTACCCTATTGGTCCATCGCACTTTAGCTTGATATACCACCGTATTTTAGCAAACAAACAACCATCGCACTTTAGCGTAGACCATCGCACTTTAGCGTGACCATCGCACTTTAGAGTACCATCGCACTTTAGAGTACCATCGCACTTTAGAGTCTTACAAATATATCCTGAATAAAAGTCAAAACCATCTTAAGAACACCATAGAACATATAAATTGGTATCGTAAACTTAAGACAATTATTAGGATATATTCTATGTTTCCATGAATTATAAACCCTTGACAGACGAAAATATGTCCGAAGATAGTCTAAAGACGTCTCCTACATGCAAGCATATGAATTCTTCATACACGGGTGTCTGGCCTCTAAGAAGACCACATATTTCATCGTCAATGAATCATTATAAAATATTTCAAAATTGTATCT